AGAGAGAGAGAGAGAAGAGAGAGAGTAATTACTTGGGGAGTGGGACGGGTGAGACAATTAATGGTGTATTAGTTGGTAGATTTTTTATTATTAATGTGGGGTAGGGCCCACCTATGGTGTAAAAATTACTATAGTATCTTTAATGAAGGTATAATTTAGATTTTTTATTAGCTATTAGATTATCCGATTTAATGACCACGATTCATTCTCATTTCTTTGATTGGGAACCATTCTCATATGAACCCAACCCTATATATATATAACATTTTGTGCAAACTAATTAAACGCGACAAATGGGATGGTTCGTGACAAAATAATAAAAAAAAATACCGACATGGTTTAAAAAGGTTCAGGACCGGGAACGGTACGAAAATAATGAAAATCATTTGGAACCTAATTTTTTGGAACGGGACCATTTAATTCAATTCGGTACCGGGAAATTAAGTTCTTTATCCACCCCATACAATGTTTATGAACCAATAGACAAAATCGTAAGCAGATAACTTTCACCAAGATTACAGTTTGGGAATGAATGCACACATATACGGATTTAAATGACCACGCAACTCATAAACCATTAGCAAAATTCAAAAGAACAAAATCTTAAAATATTTTCATAAAAGCAGGAAAACACAATTTATGATAAATTTTCAATATATTTTTAGACCGGATTTATTTAAGTCCGCCACTGCGCAAGACTTCCTAGTATATATATACTAAAGTAACTAGGTTTCAGATTTCTTACCTTATCCTTACCCATAGCGCAGCTCGCCTGTCTTCTCACGCCTCTCTCTCTCTCATCTGCAGACTAATCGGGCGCCACTCCGGCTCGCCACTCTCGTGTCTCTCAGTCAGGCACCAACCACTAGTCGGCAGCCACCGTCGGACCTTCTGCCTTGTGAAATCGCGTCGCCTCCGGCCTCTCCCAGTCTCCCTCTTTGCGACGCCTCACTGCTTCCGAGTTCCGACGCCTCGCTGCCGCGGCCCCGCCTACGTGACACTCCACTGCAGATTTAATGTAATTAGTAATTACTACATTTCTGAAAAAATTAACAATTGTTGCTATATCTTTGAAGTTGATAGGGTTTTATCTTTGACACATGCTAATTTGTTATATATGATTTGTGTTTAAGTTAGAATTAGGTTTATGAATAATGATCTTATGAGAAATGCTGAACTGATGTTGAATTATTGATGAATTTACTGTTAAATCATGCCTCTGTTGTTGGTGCTGAATTCATTGTGAAATTAGAATTAGGCATTTTGTAGGAAAAAAAAAAAAACAAAGGGGGCGGTGGCCAGGGCAGGGCGGCCCGCCCCGGCGCGGGCCAGGTCGCGGGCCGGCATTCTTGGACCCGTGGCGGGTCACGGGCCAGGTCGGGGCGCGGGCCTATGGTCGCGGGGCAGGTCCGGGTACTGAACTACCCGGCCCGACCTGCCCCATTGCCATCTCTAGACTGTATACGATTAGGATATTTATTTTTGCTTTATATATGTATACAAAACTGTATTTTCTACCAGAAATGATACGGATGTTTTGTTGAACAAGTGGACTGGGCTAGTCGAGCTCTTTCCCGTTTCCCGTATTGGGGCTTTAAGTCAGTGGGATAAGTGCTTGTCAGTTCAATTTGGGCTTTATTGAGTTTTTTATGACATAAGTTGGAGTCTTAAAAAAAAAACCTCGTTCTACCAAACAAAATTTATTTTAATAAAGAAAACTTAAAGTTTATTTGGTCACTAAACATAATCATACTGATGTCATCTAATTGAAAATGTAAAAGGTTGTGTTAGGTAAACATATAAGCTAGTTTGTAGCTTATTTGATTAGCTTATAAATTTTTTATATTCAAATAAATTTGGTTTGGTACTTAACTCTCGAGATTTTTTTCCAGCCGTCAATTTAGGGTTCCAGCTGAAGCTAGGGTTCGAATCTCTCACCCTAAACTAGGTAATTTCTTTCCATTTTCTAGCAATTGCAAGAATCCCTTACCCAAATTTTGTAGATTTCTTCTTTTTATGCTTTGTTGTTTATCTTTTGTGTTTCCTTTTTGCTTTGAATTTTTCTTTATAAACTCTTTAGTATGCAACAAGTATTTAAGTATATGTCTTGTCTTGTAATAGGAGAATTGTATGATTATTTTCATATAAAAATATGCAACATCTTGTATTCAATTGAAATATCCTAATGGGTATGGGCTATGTTGAAGTAAGATCCTATTCAGATTTCAGCTTTTACCCAAAAAATAATGACAGACATATCACCTTCTTTTACTGTAAAAGGATAGGATGACAATACTTTTTAATGTTTATGATTGTTTTGATTATTATTTGTACATATGTGGGGGTTTGACATTCTTTCGTATACGCTTTCGATTTAGCTAGTTTTCTCTTATCCATTTTTGCTTTGTCATTAAAAAGAAATTAGAAAATAATTCAGAATCTCCGGAGATTCTCGAATACCGAATCAAAACCGAACCAAAAAATAAAAAACTTCGAACCGAACTGAACCGAGTTCTTGGTACGGTTTCGGAGATCGAATTTAGTGATCTCCGAATTTTGGTACGGTTCCGGAGATCGAATTTAGTGATCTCCGAATTATGGTACGGTTCCAGAGATTTGTCAATCTCCGAACCGTACCGACCATACTCACCCCTCTTATGTGCCTATACTTTGATTTGTTTTATGTTTTCCTCTTATTTCTTCAGTCATTTTCTTGACATTTACAACTACGCAAATGACATCGATTTAATAATATATAAATAAAATAAATTTACTATGTAACAAATGAGTACTGTCAATAATTAATTAATAAATTTATTGTAAATCGATTTATATTTAGTAATTTTTAGTGTAATTATTAATAGTAAAAAGTATAAAAAATAATGATTTATACAATTTTTTGTGAAAAAGTTTAAATTTGGTATTATTATTATTATTATTATTATTATTATTATTATTATTATTATTATTATTATTATTATTATTATTATTATTATTATTTGGGCTGAAAACGCACAAAAATCATATTGCAAACCGATAATGGTACTCCATTGCTGCAAATGACGGTAAGCAACCAAACAACAGTACAGTCGCGACTACACCACCGACTCTCAAAGATAAGAACGAAAGAAAAAAGAGGTTTCTTATTCTCCCTCTGTTAGCTTCTTTTTCTTTTCCTATGACGCCCCATTTTAAGTTTCGTTGATAGAATTTAGTGCTTCTTAGCAGTTGGAGTGTATTTTTGTATCGTGTGGAGTTTCATACATTTTGGGGGAAAAAGTGAAGTTAGCTGATGTTTTTTTAGAGTAGGCCAATGTTGTATGCAGTTTCTCCAGTGAGTCCCTTTACGAGCAGCAGCAGCAGCATCTGTTACCCTAGAATCTGTTTTCATCACAAGCGTTTAGCTTCAACAAGGCTTAATAAGGCCTCGGCCTTGGTCTCGGCCTCAGCGGGTCCCAATGGAGTGAAGGTCGAGTACACTCCATGGCTGATTGTTGGCTTGGGCAACCCTGGGAACAAATATCATGGAACTCGACATAATGTAATGAGCCACTACCTTATATTTTTCCCTTATTTTGTATTCCTTCAAAGGGATGTGCATCTGATTACTGTTCAACTTTTTTGGTTAGGTTGGGTTTGAAATGATAGATCGTATCTATCAAGAAGAAGGCATTTTGATGAACACTATACAATCAAAATCATTGATTGGCATAGGTGCTTGATAATCTGTCCCTTTTCTTCATTACTTGCCCTTTTCTTTTCTAGAAGAGTAGTATATGACATTTCGGTGATTATAAGCCATTTTTCGTCACGTACTTACGAGGTCCAATTTATTGATTGATATTTTACTAACATGTTCAAACATAACCAGTGCAGGTTCCATAGGACAGGTCCCCGTTTTGTTGGCCAAACCTCAAACATATATGAACTTCAGTGGAGAATCGGTTTGTCTTCCTCTTTTTTTTTGTTTTTTTTTTTTTTTTTTTTTATTTGAGAGTGAGCTATTTTTTGCCCACATATGTTTGAATCATGTCCATTATGAGCTTTCTTTAGGCTGGTGACTTTCAACTTGACAGTGAAACAATAAAATATTTCTGCTACTTAGAGCATTCACAGTAAACGGTATACTCGATGTAAAGAGGTGGTAGATAATCTGGCGATTCAAATGAGATTAACTTGGCGATAGTATTAAATTTGCCAACATTGTTGTAATGTTTGGTATGCTAAATTTGTTTAGATGTTAAACTGCAACTATGGTTTGCTGTGAGTAGGACCCTCTGTGCGTTGATACTGGGTCTATTCGTTAATGTCAGAGACGTTTGCATCTTTCTGGACTCTGGTTTATCCATAGTGAGCCCATCGATTATGTCTTGTTATTTATGACTTTTAGTTATAACTTGGTTATGTGAAGAACCAAAATTCTTTAAAAGCATGTTTTTCTACATGGATAATTTTCTCTGTGCTATCACTTCACATATAATTTATCCAAATATTGGTCTTCCTTGAACTCGAAGTGTCTCGTAAAGTACATTTTC